TCGGGTGTCGATGCGTCCAATAGACCCTTATTACCGATCAGACAATCTTAACATCGTTGTCGGTGTTTTGTTATGCCTTTGACAGATCAGACGCTCTTAGCATCGTTGTCGGTTGTTTCTCATGCTTTGGCGTCGTCAGTTTTTCTACCCTTCGAGTTCCCTAGTACTAGAAACAAATGAATTAAGATATATGCGGGTAAGTATATAGATGTGTAGAAATTGAGTGGTATATGAAATATGTAAGAATTAAGTCTTACGTAAATTTTCCCTTATTGGAAATAGTTGCCCATAGGTGGAGGCGTCAGGAGCAGCCGGTCAGACAACCGTTTGTTGAAATAGTGATTCTCTTCAAAAGATACTACAAGATATTGACAATCTTAAATAGTGACCATAAAAAAGTCATACATAAATATTATGATAAAGTTTTTAAATGAATAGTAACATAAAAGCCACAATGGATGCCACGAATTAGTGGTGGTTGGTTATAAGCGATAAAAAACGAACAAGTCACTCCACAAATCTATGCAACTCTTAATTGTAATGTATCCCACAATTGTAAACACAAAAAGATGAGAGAAGTGAAGAGAGCGTGAGATATTTGCAATATATTTTCCACACAAAGTGGGTGATAACTTGATGACCGTTGGCAATAAATCTAATGGAAAACAAAGGGGACAACCTTATTGAATGAGTTGAACACCACTCATTGACTGTGGTTGCAACAATTAGAATTTGAAAGCCCATTTAATTGACTTTTATGGCCGTTTTCAATGGTAACATTTCATTTATAATTACAATAATTCATCAAAATAAAAATAAATATCAATATATATATATATATTAAAGATTGATCGACGGTCACAAACCGCCGATGAACCCCTATAGGTTGGATTGACCGAGGGGCGGTCCCTCATTCCAGTCCGTGCGCTATTTGAATCCTCCCGAAAGGGTTAGGATTCAAACCCCCAACCCGAGGGTCTTACTATATATATATATATATATAACTTATAACTTATGGAGGTGAGTTATATATATATATAAAAGAATTGGATGGCATTTATGAAAAAATATTAAGATAATAATTGAGTGTTTCACATATATATGACGAAAAGAGAGATAATTGGGAGGAGCAGCTAAAGAAAGAGAGGAGACGATGACGAAAAAAGTTGCGCGGCCAAGGTGGTGGCCTGAGGAGATATATTAGGAGCGACAAATTATGAGGGTGGTTCTAGGGATTGGTCTGCTATTTGAGAGGGGGGAACGCCTCTAAGGCCCTTTGCTTGAGAATGCCGACAGCGAGGGAGTTGACAGGGGGCAGTAGACAGGTGGAGTTGGGTTGATCGGTATAGTCATGCGTCCGAGAGAGCAGGATGACATGCTTTGCGAGAAGAAGTCTGATTGTTGAGGCGGTACTAAATGGCAAAGAGCAAGGTCGGTCGGATGTGTGGCAATCCATTGGGAGATGGTTGGTCAGAGGTGACCAGAGCAGCGGTCGGTTGGAGGGTGTTGTCGGCTGACGAGTAGCCTGTTTTAATAGGTTTTGTCGAGTGTCGGCTTGGACAAAATAAAGCGGCCCATCTAATAGCTCTGGATCTGAGACTTCCATAGTTTTGGATAGAGGCGGAGCGATCAGATGGATTTGGATGACCGGTCATCGTGGTGTCCGGCCGGAGGAATGTCAATTGGAGGAATGTCGGCCAGAACGTTAGCATTATAAAAATGTATAAGGATTAAATGGCAGGTATGAGAATATTATATATATATATATATATATATAAGAGAGAGAGAGAGAGAGAGAGAGGAATTGAGTGTTATATATGTAAATCTTTCAACTTTTGAGTTTCCTAAGCATTAAGCAGCTATTGGAATGCATGAACTTGAGACTCACTGCAAGTTCATGGCTGGTCGGAGACAACCAAAACAACAATCGGTCTAGGAGCGTCTCCGACTGATAGGTGATTTGTTGTAAGCATTTAAAAGATTTAAGTAGTATGAAGAAACTATATAATTATGCAAGAATTGAGTGGTATATATGCAAGTCTTCCTTGTTTCAAGGGCGATCGACCAATGGATGGCCGACCAGAGCACAAGTGCACGCTCGACAATGTGTCCAGAAATGTGCTACGGTCGCACGTGTGCTCCGGTCAATCGACAAATAAATAGCAGAACGTTGATCGACTAATTAGCTTAAACTTAACCTGGATTTTACCGGGCACTCATGCTTGAACAACCTAAAGCCCCAGATTTGTAAATCTTGTATTGGTGATCCATGTCAACAAGGAAGATGTTTGAATTTGCTTCTTCCATTGTTTTTGAGAAGAGTAGAACGACCGGAGGTAGGTTACTAGGAAGATAGGTTGAGCAAAAAAAAAATAAAAAAAAAATAAAAAAAAATAATATATATAAAATAAACATGTAAGGATTGGGTGGTATGCAGTTTGATAGGTGGGATGAAGTGCGGTCGGTGAAATTCGATCGTCGGGTGTGAGAACCCCACTAGCGGTACAAAAGACAGAAATGGAGTTTGTTGTTAGAGAAAAATAATGGAGTGGAGTGAGTGAATAAATGAGAGAGAGAGAGAGCGAGAGAGCTTGGGGAGAGGAAGTGAAGGTCGCGGTTGGATGTGAAAGTGGAGAGAAAGCTCGCAACTTGAGAGGTGATGGGAATTGAAAGTGTGGGTTACCTCTGTTTCCACTAGATCTATGGGGAAATGCGGAGAAGGAGATAAAGTTTCTAAGAGATAGCCGGTGATGAAAAGTAAAGGAAGTGGACCGCTTTTGTGCAAGTTCCTCTTCTGTGTTATTTGCTAGGAGTGTGTCTCTGAAGAGTTTCCCCTTGATGTTAGCTCGTCTTCTTATTAACTGCACGATCCACACTCACCGCACTTTTTAGAATGTTGGATTCAAATTTGTCTGGAGTGTCGTGCCCAAAGAATGGAGCGTTAAACCGAGAGAAAGAGATTGAGAGAGCGAGAAAAAAAGAGATGAGAGGAAGACTTCCCTCGATAGGGGAAAAATGGGGTGTTCTCGGGCTTGTGGGCCCATTTTATGTCATAAAATTAGAGGTTACAAATAAAGGGTGCCCCAAAGAAGCCCTCACTTTACATCATGAAATCCTTCTATTTATAAAAGATAGGAGGGGTAAAAAGTACAAAAATTATATATTTCTCTATACCTACCGTTGGATTGTTTCAAGATCAACGCAGACTTTCAGATCCATATTTGTCGGTCGAATGAAGTGAGGTGTCGTGAGAAAGAGCTTGGACGATTGACTGAAGTGAGGTGATCAGCTTGGTTGGTCTATTAAAGTGAGGTGGCCGAGAGAGAGAGAGAGAGCTTGGTCGGCCGGCTGAAACGAGGTGGTCAAGGGAGAGAGCATGGTCGACTGACTGAAACGATGTGGCTAACTATTAGATTACCTCAAGATCTTTGTAGACCATTTTTGAATATACAATACCATTAATAGAATTTATCCATGGATTTAACTTGAATCCAACCAAATACCAAAAAAAATGAAAATTAAATCGAACGCTCTGTTATATCACATTTTCTCGCAATCCGCCTCTTTCATGAGGTAAATCTGAATTTACTAAATCCGATTGTGAGGCGGATTTATTCTGTCGTCACTCACAAGCTCCCTCTTCGTCGCATCCTAGATTTGATAAATCTAGATTTATCAAATTTACTAGATTTGATAAATTCGATTTAACATGAGGCTAGGTTGCAACTATATCGTAGTTTTGTAGCATCCTATTAATTGTACTTAGCCATGGATTTAGCTTAAATCCAGCCAAACACAAAAAATAAATAAATAAATCCAACGCTCCGTTAAATCCAATTTTCTCGTGTTTTGACTTGTTCTTCTCGTGTTCGTTGGTTATACTACGAAAATCCGGATTTAGTAAATTCGATTGTGATGCGAATTTATTCCGCCATTGTTCTTAAGCAGAGTCGTTGCAACGTGGATTTGATAAATCCGGATTTAATTAATTTAATAAATCCTAATTAACGTAAATCTAAGTTACAGCCAAACACTGCCTAAAGGTAATTTCTTAGCCGCACTAATGGGGCATTTACATAAATACCACACACTCCTTATGTATTTACTAATGCAACAACCAAACTTTAATATTTACATGTATAACACTCAAATCTTTAATATTATTTAAAAAATCACTATGACTTACTTTTTTTCAAGTGAAATACACCTTTTCATGCATTGGTTTGTCTTTATCACAATAAATTGTAATAAATGCAAATATCAAAGGTTAGGTGTTAGATATGCGAATAAGTAATAGTTGTGTGAATAACTTAATAGGAGATCTGGCCTAAAATCGGCCCTGCGATTTACCGCTGAAAGTGAACTTATGTCGCCCTGCTAACTAAAACAAAGAAATGACCTTCAGAACTGAAACAGTTGGAATTTACAGATTCCTTAAGTGGTTGCCACTCGATCGGAAACAACATAATAGGATCCAGATCTACGATTTTAAATGAAGATATAGGCCAAGATTCAGAAACTTCATGAACAGAACTGTTATCCCCAAAGATAATTCCTGTAATCAAGATGAAGCCCGGAAACCAATTTTTTACTTGATTATAGTTCTCACACTCTTTTTTCCCCATACAAATCGAAGTGAGTTATGAAGATGCAACAAAGAACAATGGAAAATCGGAGCCTTCGATTTATGAATTGAGGATGAGATGTACATACATACACCTCAACTCTTATGTATTTACACATCTAACACCTAAACTTCAATTTTTTACATACATACCCCTTTATCATGAGAATGTGTATTTCACTTCCTTTTTTAGTTAAAAAAGGAGATATTTTTTATGCGACATGAAAGATTTGGTTTCACCATGTCAGTTCTGCATACTCAACTTCAACGCATTATCAAGAAATGGGAGAATAAGAAGAAAAAAAAAACCCTAACATCCTCGGATCACAAGTTCAAGCTCAACAGTAAAGCCGAGAGAAAAGCCAAGAGTACAAACCTGCTCAAAAACCCCTCTCTTTGCCATCTCCTCCCAGAAGCGGAGCAGCGCAAGGGCCACTCCAGAGGCCACAGCAGACGCAACTGCATCCTGCAAAAGCGCTCCGCTTTCCAGCGATATTACAGCCATCGGCGTGGACGTCCGACACTGGCTTTCGATGGTGCTCCGGCTTCCGATATTTCGGCCGAAATGGAAGCGGAAGCCGGGCTGGGAGACTAGCAGGCCGAGGCGGTGAGGTTGTGGCCGGAGTAAGCTTCGCAATGGAGCTGATGGAGAGCATAAGAAGAGTAAGGCGGGCATTTGGTAGACGACCTTCGCCGAACACTGTAGTGCTAGAATTTTTACTGATTTATTATAAAAATATTGCCAGTTTGCTTCAGGCCGATTATTTTTATATTTAACGTCTATATTTTAGGTTTATACGCTTATATTATCTCAATCTTTTATTGGGGCATCTACATACATGACATATAATTTTTTATGCATTTATATAACATTTAAAATTTAATATTTACATTTATATCATTTTGGAATTAAATTTTATAAATAAAAATATTGTGTGAATTAAATTTTATAAATAAAAATATTGTTTGTGGGTAAATTTAAGGTAGTTGAGTGATATATTAAAGCCTTAATATTATACAAAAATTAAGTATACACAAAAATAAAAGAATAATTAATAGAGAGGATGTCGGATTTTTATATGAAAATTTTGATAGGATAAAATCACCGGGCTTAGATCAGTTGAAATAATTTCACGATGCCGATGTAAATTATACGACTTTACCATCTTTTCAATAAAATGAAACAATATTAAATAAGTAAGGGTTATCCACGTGACTTCCGACTTCCGCTAGAGAAGTGTGACTAGCCTACTGCTCCGAAGGAAAACCAATGATAGAGGTAGTGTTACAATAATCGATGGCGGCTAGGCAATGGTGGCGAACGGCGACACAGCGGAAGTCAGATCGATGTAATGAACTAACAATAGTGGTCTGACAACAACGACAGTGGTGGCTAGGCAATGGTGGTTCGGTGATGACGATGGTCAAGCCTACAATAACTGTGGTGCTCGGGTAGCGGTGGTCCAATGACAGAGGTCGGATGACACTGGTTTAGCAAGATTGACAATGGTAATTGAACATTGATGGTATGGCGCGCAATGTTGGCATTAGGGCAATTGTGTTATAGTCATGTCAATGGTCCGACGACGATAACAATGGTGGTCCGGCGGCAACAACTGTGGTGATCGGGCATTGGTGGTCCTACGACGATAGCAATTGGATGACAGTGGTCTGATGACAACAACGATGGTGACCGGGTAGTAGTGGTCTGATCGCAATGACGATAAGATGACATTGGTCCATCTATAAAGATGGTGATGGTCAAGCAATAGCGCCAGTGATGACGGTGGCCAGCCAAATGTGTTATAGTGATGACAATGGCTAGCCAAATGTGTTACAGCAAGGATGGTGGCCCAACGATGGTGGTCGTGTAGTAGTGGTCTAATAGCAATGACGACCACCCGGTGATGGTGGTGATCAAGCAATAATGTTTCAATGACAACAACAGTTTGACGATGGTGGTCCGACGAAGAAAGTGGTGGTCCATTATGGTGGCGCTTGAGAACCCTCAAGAGCTTAGATCTCTTTCAACTTTCTCCTCTAGGTTTAGCCTGAGGTCCAGGTCCTATTTTCAAATAGTTGCCTCGTCATAGTACTACAGGTCTTGATCGCCACCACCCAAGTCTATCTGATGATGTCAGTCAACACTTCATTCAAGAGAAGAGGCTTATCTCACCATAGAGTTGTGGTCTTTAATCATCTCCAACTCATTCTGTTCAGGTCCATCAACGCCTTTTTCAAGGGAAGACAGTTGCCTAGGATCACGGCGATCACCTCCAACCTAATATTTCTGATGAGGACAGTCAACCCCTTTTTTTGGATATGATAGTTGCTGCAATGAGGATTAAGGGCCTTGACCGCCTCCAATCCTATTTTTAAGATAAGGTCGGTCAACACTGTTTTCAAGGAAAAATTGTTTCCTTACTTAGGATCATGGGCTTGACCTCCTTCAAGTTCAACCTGTCAAACAAAAATAGCAAACCATTTCAATTTAGAGGGGAAAACCAAATCTTTGTCGTATAGAATGTGAGCCAATAGAAGGAGAGGTGTGCCATCTATAGCACCCCAAGGAGGAAATTAATAAGCTTAAACAAGAGAGAAAAAGAGAGATTGTCTTCCTTAAAAAAGGGTGTTGATCGACCTCCTCAGACATATCGAGTTGGAGGTAATCAAGACTTTTAGTCCTATGATAACAATGATCTAGCAATGGTGAGTCTGATGATGACAATAATATTGGTGTTGGGTTGTGGTGATGATGACCCAAGAATGATAATAATCAGATGATGGTGTTTCAGTAATCGAGGTGACACAATGATAATGGTTTAGCAATGACAACGATGTAACACAACAAAGAATAAAATCAAATGCTGATGATATGGCATAGCAACGACAACCTAATGAAGGTGGCCAAGCACGATGATGGAGAGCTGATGCCAATGGTTTGAGATCGTGACATGATGGTGATAGTGGCGGTACCTTAACGACAACAGTTCAAAGATAATGTTCAGGTATTGTGGTGACCTAATAATAGTTCTCCAACACAACAATGAACCGACAATAGGGGTCATGTGATGATGGAAGCCTAACAAAGACAGTGTGGCATGGGGGTAGCTTGACGATAGTGGCTCAACGGTGGAAGTGCTGGCCTTATGACAATATTGATAGATACTCCATTGGCAAGGCATCGAGGTCCACCAACAATGTATGTGGCGTGTCGATGTTGATTAGGCTATAATGGTCTAGAGGTAGCCACAATTGAAGATGATGTTTCAGTAAAGGTGTGGTGCCAATACCAACACCATTGGCTAGACGATTGTAGTGACAACTGTGTCATTGGTTGCTTGACTAACTTTGTTAGATTTTTTCCTGACTAATACCACTACTATCACTAGTCACCACTGGCCGACCACCGTTGTCGTCACAATACATACTCATTATCCAATGTCGACCTATTGACAATGAAAATGTGTCATGATAATGGTGGTGGTTGGGCAATGGCAGTTTGGCACGATGACAGCTTGATGGTGATGGTGTGGCATGGAGGTAGCTCGATAACTGTGGTTCGAATGATGGTGGTTCAACTTAGTGATGGTGGCCCGATGATGGTGATTCAGTGATGATCGATTGTCAATGACTAACAAGTGAAGGTAGTTTGATGACAATGAGGGTCATGAGACCGTGGCTTGGTGAAGACAGTAGTGATCTTGCAATTGTAGTGACAACTAAGATGTAATCGAGGTAGTATTGATCCAACGACAACTGTTGTGGTCTAACGATGTCAAAACTGACTGAGAGATGGTGATTTCGTAATAAAATTGGTGATCACGACATAATTTTTAACTAGAATATGATAAATTAATTATTCAAATGGAGTCCATCGACATCAACCTAGTGAAAGTGGTTTGATGGTGATGGTGTACCGCAAGTGTGAGGTAATCTAAGAATAATAATATATCACTATGTCAATCTTACAATAGTGTTCCAACACAACAACAACTTAGCAACAGTGATCCTATGATGGTAGCGACCAGAAAATGGTGGTATGGTCGGTGGCCCAATGTTAGTGGTTCACCGATGGAGATATTGATTGGGCGATAATAGTGATAGCTGCTTCATCGAATGGACATTGAGGGCCAACAACAATCTTTGTGGTTCGTTGTCATTTACTAGGAATGATGGTCTAATAGTAGCAACGACCAAAGATGGCTATCCAGTAATGATGATAGCGGGGACAGTAACACCATTGGGTGACATCTGTGATGGTAATTTAGAGGTGTCAGCCAGGTGAAGATGATCAGATGATTATATTCATGTCTAAGTGGCGATGATCAAGTGAAAGTAGCAATTTCAGTCGGGTGATGGTGATGGCCTAACAAGGTTAGTCTAGCGTGTTGATGTTGACTTGGTCACATCAACAATATGTCATAAAGCAGATGTGATCGAGCAAATAAGGCTCGACATCGACCAATGTAATTGCGGTCTTAAGGCGGCAGCAACCCAATGATGATGGTCTGACATGGTGGTAGTGGTCAAGTGATGGCAGCTTGATGGTGATCAGGTGTCGGAGATTTCGTTGTGATAGTGGCAACATCTCTATCAATAGGGGAACTATAGATATTGATCAGGCGATAATGTCCTGAAAGCAGTAATTGAAAATGGTGATACAACAATACCAACAACAAAAACCTCATTGCTTCATTGGTTAAGGAGATTATGGTGGGGGTCTGGAGTTGTCACCTGGTGACGATGATCCAATGATGATGGAGGTGGCCCAACGATGGTGGTCTAGCAATAACACTATGTCACCGGGTGATAATAGCCTAACAATTGTCATGACAATAGTGGTAGTTGCATGATATTGATGTTTGTGATAACTTTCTCCTAAAAAATAGATTATTTTATTTTATATCTTTGAAGTAAATAAATTATTCAAACCAAGCAGTAGAGGTTAAGCAATCTGCGGTGATTGTAAAAGAGTGATAAAAGTGCGACCCAACCATTGAATAATGAAAAACAAGCAAAGTTGTTGCTTTCATGTGATAAAGAGATTGAAGAAAATCCACCATGAATGTTCGACCAATATAAGGTTGTTTATTGGAGCCTTACTAAACAACATTAACATGTATGGAAAATACTGAAGAAAATTTATCTATGATGTTTGATCTTTCTGATGTTATTTTTCCGAGCGTTTCTCAATGACATTAGCCTATATGAAAAGTTGTTCGTTGAAGCGTTACTTGAGGATGTTAACATGTACGGGAGAGATCTAATAAAATCTACCAAGGATGTTTGATTTATTTAAGGCTGGTTGTTAGAGCATTAGCCTATGTGAAAGAGTTTGAAGGAAATTCACCAACAATTTTTGACCTATCCATGGTTATATGTCGGAGTGTTACCCAGAGATTTTAACTTTTATGAAAGAGATCAAAGAAAATCCACTAAAAATTTTTGACATATCTAATGTTGTTTATCAGTGTTACTCGATGATGTTAATTTTTATGGAAAAGGTTGAATTGAATTCCTCTATTATCGATTTATATACTGATTGGGAAATGATGATTATCGCATGGATCCTGAATCAAAGATAAAATTGGTATTTATTTAGACTATTATTGCCTTTGGAGGTCATGACTACATCCTTGTCCAGGGTGTAAAAGTCTGGCTATGGATTGTATGCAGAACTTGGAGTATTTTATATTTATGAAAAGATTTGAGAGAGATAGTTGCTAATAATAATATCTTGTATGT